AAGGTCTTTTCCAACCTAAATGATTCTATGGTTCTATGAACAAAGCAGCATCTTCATAATGGGACCTGCAGCTCTAAAGTGCACCTAGTTGTTAGCAGAGCCTGACATTTTCCATCTGTGTCCTGTGTTCCTAGGCAGATTTTGTTTTGTGATCTCTTGGAGTCCTTTTGGGATCACTTGTTGATTACTTATGCTGGAATTTATGGGATGTTTATGGTGCATCTTGAGGTAGTGGTAGTTATATTTTATCACCTGGAAAATAAAATTGACACAGGCCTTTAAATATCAAGGAAAGCAGAGTAAAGGCTGTCAGCCTTTGTTATATTTATCCACTGTGCTTCATCCTACCTCCTATACAATCCCTTCATCCGCTGTCCCAGAGGGATGAATTAAGAGCATGAGCTTCATTGTAGCTTTGTCAGGTGAAGCTGTGTCCTTGATGAAGTCAAGAGCAGAAATTCCATTAATTTCATTTGGGCCGCATTTTCACTGGGTTTTTTTGCTGCTTTGTTGCAACTGGAATACTGTTCAAATATGTAGTGCTCTTCTGTGGATACTTTTAAGCAAAGACTGGCTGCAGATTGGCCAAGGTGTAGGAGCTTACAGGGCAACACGGAACCAGGGAGGGAAGTACATTGTTTGCTGTCAGTTAACGTCATTCAGTCTCTGTTTAGAATGCAGCTTTAGGTATGAGAGAAAAAATAAACTTGAGTATTGTACAATAACATTGTATTAATAATAGCATTAGAAATAAATACTTGCCAGAATGAGGCCAGTTCATAAATTTCTTTTAAATTTCAAAAAACCTGCATATTTAGAATATATGGAACTGTAATTCCAAAGTTTCTGCATAGTTTATCTCCTCCTACTGTCTTGGCTTTAAATCAAGCAAAGAATATTTTATAGAGGATTTATCTGTAGTTAGTGTTAGTTGTATAGCTATTGCTGCTCTAGGCTGTATTGTGTTCCCCTAAATCATGCAGATGTGCATCTGTTATTTCAATGTGAATATCTGACAAACGTTACAAACCTAAGAGTGATTACAGCACGATGCCTAGAATGAATATGTGCTTTGGATCTCTGCCTCTGTCACAAAGGAATCCTGAATCGAAGTGTCTGGCTGAAAATACAGCTTTAAAAAACCAAAACCCCTCTAGCCCTTTCTATGTTTTGTATTCTACTCAGCAGGTCTGCAACAGTTGCTGGGTGTTAGACGAGCTCAGTAAGAACTTTAAGAAAGGTTTTTTTAACGTATGCATCGTATTGAAATGAACTGTGTTTGAACGTGTGCGTAAGTTTTTAGCTTTGTTTTTCTTCAGATAATCTCTTAAGTCTAGCAGTTGTTATAAGGAAGAGCAATAGTGGAAATCCGGAGCAAGTCCTGAAAAACACAATTCACTCCATAGAAGAATTACACCTACTGGTAGACATTTGGGTGTCAACAGAGTAAAAGGAACCTCTCCTAGGTCCCTAAGTATATATCACAGATTTCCTGGAGCGGGTGCAGAAAAGCGATTTGCCTTTGAATTTCTGCAGTGCGAAACTGGTACGAGAGCTGTACAGAACAGGAAATTCAAATGCCTAAGCAGTGAGTTTCTTTGGAGTTTTAAGCCATAAGAAAGCCATTTCTATACCCCTGTTGCTGCAATGATGATTTTCACAACTGGAAACTAAGTGGCACAATTTTGTCTTCCTGAGACTATGCTGTACCGCTGCTGCTCAGCCTTTTTCATTACCGATGAAATTAGTAAGTAGCAAGGCTCTCTAGTGTCACTGCTGCGTTTCAGGTGCCTGTGGACAGCAGAGAGGCTGCTAGCAGCAGAATTAGGCTGCAGCCATCACCAGAACAGGCAGGAGAAGTTGTTTCACTAGCACTTTACATTCATCCACCTCTCTTTCATCCCACTTTCTTTTCTAACAGTTTCTGGTTAATAATTTTTAGCTCTTTGAGATACGAGTACTGAATAAACTTTCCTGTGATATTTAAATGCAGCACCTCGGTGAAATGGGGTAATTTAAACAACACACAGAGCCTTAGTTGATCCTTTTTTGTAGCTGCATGTACCATAATTTATACCAGCAGCCCCACAGGTACAAAGCCTCCATGTCTGGCCACGTAACCACCTGGCCGTTACTCCCCCGGCTCCCTGTGCTGGCCCGGGTGGACGTTTCTGCCCTGGCTCTTCACCAGGTCTTTGTTTTTCTTTCTAGGCATGCCTGAAGCTCATTGCCAGTCACAGCATAGTTCCATTGACTTCAGGGCACTTGGCCCCGTATGTGCTTGCAAACAAGCACTCTTGTTCTCTCGGATGAACATGCATGCACACTGAGATTTCTTTTTTTCCCTCCTTCTTTTTTCCTTTTAAGTGTGGTGTTCAAGCCAACGTGGATGCTTAGCCTCCTAAGCAATGTTTGCTGGCATTGATCAGGGCTGTCCTGAGTGAGGAAGTTGTTAAGTGCTGGGGAAAGACTTCCAAAAGCAGCCTCGGGTCCAATGCCTTGGTTCCCACAGCTCTGATCCATAGTGGTGTGTGGAGCCACTCGCCGGGCGGAGAATGGAGTTGGCAGCTGTCCTCTGGGACAGGAGCATGGTGGCCTTTAATGACAATGGCCAAGGAGGAAATGGAGGTTGTGGTCTTGCTTATTCAAGTGGTATTAACTCAGTTGGGTGACGGTGTTGTTTAGTACAGAGAATTGGGGTTTTGGTTGTTTTGGGGATTTTTTTTATCTCCTGACAAGACCCCTGCTCTCGCATACATTTGATTTCTGCACACATGTATCAAATACACACACCAATGGGGTATTTTTACAAGCACTTAGCCATCAAGCTCTGAGCTGGTGACGTGGAACGATTTGATTTGTGTGTATGGAAGAGAAATGCGTGTGTGCAGAGGTGTGTTGGAATCGCCTTCAGCGTATTTGGAAATTTGATACTTAATTTCAAAATAGTACCAATAAATATGTTGATTCAAATGAGGAAAGTGAGCTTTTTCTCTTTCAGAAAGACTTATTTAAAATTCAGGAAGTCAAACTGCTGAAGAGTTAGCACTAGGATTTATAAAACAACATTGAAAGGGAGGCTTAATTAACATTTCACTACCCTTTCAATTGCACTGAATGCATGTCTGGTTTATCACCCACCTAAATATGTTAGTTTGTGTTTGAAGAATGCTTGTGACAGTGATCCTTCAGGAGAAAGCTCAGCTTTTTCCTATAATCTCATTATAGCATTTATATATTTTATTTGCTTGCTTTGACCTTGGATGATTTAGAGAGAATATTCAATATCTATATCATGTATTTCTGGGAATCAGTACTTGATGTTGGTTTTTTTTTTTTTTTGCTGTTAACGTATCTTTAGCTGGAATTTAAATTTTTTATGTGTTTTTTTTGGTCTAAACAATATACTGATGGCACACCCTCTATTAGTAAGTTGGCTGTTGATAGATGAGCACGCACAGCATGGCAGTACACACAAAAGCAGGTCATCCCTGGGAAGGATTTTGCTCTGAGTTCCTTCCATGAGTGAAGAAGTAGCAGCTGCTTTTTTTTCTCTCCCTGAAGACCACAGTGATAACAGAAATGGGATATTAAAAAGGGCAGTATAGATTAATGGGGCAGTAATAAAACAAGTGAGACCCATTAGCTAAATCACTGCTTCAAAAGTAGGTTCCGTGATAAGTGCCCTTCAGTGCCTCATGTGGGAAAAATTGTTACAGCACTTGTAACATCATCTGTGGTGTTGGATTTTAGACTGTTGTGACAATACTAAGTGATAGGATCTTAAAATAATTTAGATGAGGGTAAACTTCATTTGCCCTTAGTGCATGGTAGAAAACTTGAAAAATTATATCCAAATGTGAAGACAAGTTATTTTCTTTCAAACCCAGTCAGAATGTTTTTGCATGCTCCCAAAATCTTTCCTCAAAAAACAAAGCCTTTTTTTGTTGTTCTGTTAAGCCTGTAAGGTGATCATGAGAACCTGGAAATCCTTATTTTACTGCTGGAGCACCGGTGCTTTGGGGACTAACGTTCAAACAGACTTTGAACTGCAATAGGTGGCTTTAGCAAGATGTCCCACTTTTTAATTGTTGATTTTATATTAGATTAACGATGAAGCATGTGCATTATACTTAAAATGCTACATGTCTCTGCTCTCTGCTTTTTAAACCAGATTGTTTTCTGGAGCATTTCATAAAAAAAGGAAAATATGCTTCATTTCTTAGATTTACAGAGTATGTTGCCTATAAGGAGAAGAATGTTTGGGGTTTAGAGATAAAATGTGTACGCAAATCAACTAATCAAAGCCAAAGATATTAGTTTGAAAGTGCTCTTTCATTAATCTTCAGGAGATAGATGGGTCAAAGTCTCTGAATTGACACATTTTGCTTCCCTTTTTCCCTCCAGAAATACATGGCTGTATCATGGCGGGGTTTAATTTTTTTTATTTGTTTCTTTTCCAGTGTAATTTTCTAAATCCAAGCTTAGACTGTAAGCAACGAGCACCATGTCTCTCATAAGATGCACAGGGGTGCAGAGCAAGAGGGGGGCCTCGGCGCCCCGAGTGCCGCCTCCCCTGCGCCGGCGCCGGCGGCTACATCCCGTCCGGCGGTGGGAGAGGAGGGCCGGGAGGCGGCTGTTGCTATCGCTCTGATGTCAGGCGCTCTCGCTAACGTGTGGTTGGTTATTCTGCATTTCAGATCGCTGCCGGTAGCAGAGCACAAAGGGAACGGCGAGACTCCCGCATCTTTCAGCGAGAAGAAAGGAGTCGGCGGAGCAGACTAATACGGACTTGTGGCGGGTGGCCTTGCCCTACAAAGGCTGCCTTTAAAAGAGAAACGCAGTGTTATTTAATGAGCTGTGAGATGAGGTGCTGCTGCTAACGCTCAGATCCCAGGATTCATCGGCTATTCATTGTGCTTAATGTACATGTTTCTGCACCGTGCATTTAGGAGATCCCAGAGAAGAATCCAAAACGGCTGCGGGGGAAAGACCACCAAACATGCCTACAGAAACACTACCGACAGGTAGCATGGTGAAGCCGGTCAGCCCTGCCGTCACTTTCACGTCCGCCGTTCCTCTCCGCATCCTGAACAAAGGACCCGACTATTTTCGCAGGCAGGCGGAGCCTAATCCAAAAAGACTGAGCGCGGTGGAGAGGCTAGAAGCCGACAAGGCAAAATACGTCAAGAGCCAGGAGGTCATCAATGCCAAGCAGGAGCCTGTGAAGCCGGCAGTGCTGGCAAAGCCACCGGTCTGTCCTGTGGCCAAGCGAGCACTGGGGAGCCCCACCTTGAAAGTCTTCAGCAACAACACGAAGACCGAGAGCGGTGTCCAGAGAGAAAATCTGAAACTCGAGATTTTGAAGAACATCATCAACAGCTCCGAAGGCTCCAGCTCGGGTTCAGGGTATAAGCACGGTCCCCGAAACTGGCCGCCCCACAGAGCTGATTCGACGGAGCTGAACCGACACTCGTTCGCCGAATCTTTGAAGGTTTACCCCACGCAGGGCCGTAGCAGCCCGCAGGAGAGCAGCTCCAACGTCAGCAGAAGGCTCCTAGATCAGTCGGCAGAGACTTTCTTGCATGTCTCTCACAGCTCCTCAGACATTAGGAAAGTAACTAGTGCAAAGCCCTTAAAAGCAATACCCTGCAGTAGTTCAGCCCCACCTCTGCCTCCAAAACCCAAAATCGCTGCCATCACCACCCTGAAATCCCCAGAGATTGAGGCAGTTGAGTCTGGATGCGGAGTTAGTAGAAGACCCTCCCTACAGCGATCAAAATCAGACTTAAGCGACAGATACTTTCGTGTCGATGCAGATGTTGAGCGATTCTTTAACTACTGCGGACTGGATCCTGAAGAGCTTGAAAACCTTGGGATGGAAAACTTTGCAAGGGCTAACTCTGATATTATATCCCTCAACTTTCGCAGTGCAAGCATGATTAGCTCAGACTGTGAACAGTCTCAGGACAGCAACAGTGACCTTAGAAATGATGACAGTGCCAATGACCGTGTGCCATACGGCATTTCTGCCATTGAAAGGAATGCCAGAATCATCAAGTGGTTATATAGCATCAAGCAAGCTAGAGAGTCACAGAAAGTGTCCCATGTGTGAGAGAAAATCCACCACAGAAAAAGCAAGGACTGTATCTTTGTCTGTGAATATTCAGTTGTGAAGGGTTGTGAAGTCTACTTGAAGTCTTGTACACTTCTCAAATCTCTTTGTGTTGCTTGTTGTGCAATGTTTCCAAGTTGCATGCCTGTCAACATGTGAGCTGACCTGGCTTCCACTTGAACAATAACTAACTACAAAGCCTGGCTGAGCATACACATTATCTGCCAAAAGTTTAAGACAAGAATCTAATTAGGGCTTCAGTATAATCAAAGTGTTTACATGGAAAGGTTATATGACTTCTTTGGTATTTATGTGGTACCTTGTGGATTTTATATGTCACTTTTTGTCTTAATACAGATATTGTCAACTGATGTTACTAGCTTCTAAGTTGAAACAGAATCCCTTTGGGGGGGAAGAAAAGCAAAATTGGCCAAAATAAGAGGTTTAGGCATACGACGATAGGCAAAGCAGCCTTATCTCTTGTAGAAAGTGCATTATTGGCAAATGTAAAACTGTTTCTAAAAGGCAAAGAATGTTACGTTCTTAAATTATGTATCGTTGTTAAACTATATATCCCTACTTGTTTATATCCCTACTTGTTTCTTTTTTCTAGGGAAGCTCCCTCAGTTTCACAGCAGAAGTAGTCTAGTGAATCTACTTGACCTCTCATAAACTAAATGAGTCTTGCATTTGGGTTGGTGTAAGCATTTTAATGATTTTGTTTTACCCTGTTGGAAAAGCTTAAAGAAGGTTGGAATCAACAGATGAAAACATTATAGTGCGGGATTTTGCGGGTTTGGTTTTTACTCAAGGATTCCTGGTCTTAAACTTTTGACAGGAATGATTAGATCCTATAGCTGATATTGAATGCCTTTATTAGTCAAACACATTGTGACTACAAACTCCATGCTGTCTTTTAATTTTTTTTGTAGACCTATTTGAACAGTTAATGAACAAAAATGGAAACACACAGCCATATCAATATAAAGCCTCCTATTCTGAAGTAAATACACTCAGTAGATGAACTATATCTGAAAAATTGTGATTATGTTGTCTTGCTTATGTTATATCTAAGGCTGTGAAAGTTTGTTACAGCTCTAGGGAAGTGTAGAAACATGACAGTATGTAGCTTTTCTTTTTTTTTTTTTTTTTTTTTTTTTTTCCTCCTTATGATGGTTAGTGCTGCAGGTCAACGTGTTACAAATCTTTTGACAATCTGTGTCTTCCCAGTGGTTTAATTAACTGTCATTTCAACTGACAGTGGTGGTGTGGTAGCGGAGAAGTTGAAAGTACAGTGGTCTGCTTCATTATTATTGTATACATGCTTTGAAGTAAATTGCAGCACTACCTTATACTCCATCAGCTAATAGGAAACTTTTTTATTGTGTAAATGCTGTAAGACTTTGTATATACTTCAGTTGTTACGAAATCTTTAAAAGGAAGAGTGTTATGCTAATAAATAGCTCCTGGTGCAGGTATGGTAGGTTTTTTGTTCTTTTTTTTACCCCTCCCATTCTTAAAACTATATCGGGAACTCAATTGCAGTGTGTTTTAGTGCTGTAGGTGGTCTTGGTTAAATAATAGTTCTGGTAAAAGGTTTCTTTTACTAAAGTGCTTTTCAGAATATAATTTTTTATAAAGTAACTATAGCAGCATGATCTGTCTGAAGAACTAGAAGAGATTTTCAAGACTCCTAAAATAGCTTGCTTCTTCCTTACCTAGCAATGTTACTGTTCCCGTTTATAGCATCTGTTCATAATGAATCACCGCAGTCTTCTGAATTATTCTTCAGTAGTGCTTATTTATATATTTGAATATTAAAGATGTTTTACAAAGTCGGGTTCTATCTTTTCTCTAAGAAGCCTGTAGCCCAACTTCTTACTGATAGCCACAGTTAATGCAGGCAAGCCTAGAAGCGGAGCCACGCGGTCATTTGTTGCCTGTGGAATTATCCTACATCAAGTTTTATATAATTGTTTTCCAAATGATTGTTCGTGGGGAGAAAAAAAGCACACATTCAGTTTCAGGAGGCTACTCTATGGTTTTTACAGTTGGCTTCACAACCTAAGACTTACAGCATTCCTAGTTCGGTCAAAAAAAAATGAGGATCTGTGTATTTCAGCTACAGGCACATTTGTGACATTTTAAGCTCCATGGGTTTCAGCTGGCATTGACATCACACTGGTTTTTCCAGCATATTTTTCCAATAGTAAGTTCTACTCAGTACAGTGACTATTTTGCCAAGGAAAATAATGCTTAAGGGATTAAAGCCAAGTGTAATGCAGCTGTACAGCAATGAAATAAAGAAGTTAAAACCGAAATAAAAATGCACTCACATTGTTCTCTCTCAAGTGTTTTAAGAATGATGATAAACATGCTATCTCAACTGTTGTCAGCCAAAAACAGTAATAAAGAAGCCTTTATAACTAGAAAATGGATTCAAGCATATGCTAGTGTTCTGAACTTTTTTTCCCAAGGTTTGTTAGAAAGCCGTAAGCTCTTGAGAAATCAAATTCATTTCCTTTTAATGCCACAAGGGGTTTAGGCTTGTGAGCTATCTGTAAGAGAGCATTTCCTTACCCGAAGTCTTAAGCACCACCTTTGACACAGCACAGGCTCTGACTCCACTACCGCTGCTTCTTGCAATATGCACATGAATAAGATTTTACAGGACCCAGGCCTTCACAGTCAACTGAACTTGCAACTCTGGTGAGGTTGCAGTAATAGAAATCACAAGATTGCAAAATGTCCACAAGGCTTTGAACAAGCAGACAAACAATTGCCTTTGTTTGTCACTTTATTACAGTTTATACAGGTATTATTTATTTATTTATTTATAGTCTTGCTGTTACCTGTATGTTTGCATAAAAGCCACATGGTTGGCATCAGATCTGTTTTTGTTTTCAAATGGGAATAACTATTTTGCCTTTGCAGACATGTCGAGAGGGTCCATTGTTTGTCTCTGCCTTAGGAGATTCCTGAGTGCCAAACATTGAATTTGCAGAGAGTTGTAACCAACTCAAATGCCTCATCAGGGACCCATTCTGGTCTTGTTCCTGCTGCCTCCAGCAGGCATTTACTCAGGTGCAAAGCGCACAGCAAACATCAATGGTTAAACAACAGCTCTTGTTGCAGCAGCAGCTCTTGAGGGAGATGCCGGTCTGTGGCATCCTGTGGAAGCCACTCCTGAGCCCAGCGCTGACAATCCTGGCGCAGAAGTGAACAACAACGCAGTATGTTTTCAGTAGTCGGTGTAAATTCACACTCACGCACACACAGAGAAAAAAAAAAAAAGAAACCACCACAGATGTTTTTCGTGGTTCTGTTATTTTGACTTGCTGGGGAGGGAAAGGAAAACAGTGACAAAGTACACTTTGAAATCTATGTACAGCTTTGCACAGAGATAAACCATTTCTCTAATGGCCAGCAAAGCAAAACTGCTCTTTTAATCACTTCATATTATATAGTAACAATGTTGTGAAAGAAGAGATATGTAGGATCTGTGCCACAAATTTACATTCAACAAATACGAGTAGTGACATTTTCTTTTTTCAGAATTCTGTTTCTGCAAGGGAGAGCGCTGTGCTGCGAGCATAGGCACCATCTGAGTGACCGAGGGCTTTTGAAGGGTAAACACAGAATGATGATGCTTTTGGCAGAAATTCAAAAATCAAAAGACACGCTCAGACAACAGAGCCAATCAGTATTGCTGACTTATCTCTTTTTACAGCAGTTTATCCATCCATGGAGGCCATACGCGTTTGATTCCAGTCATTCAATGAAAAACAAAGTGCTTAATGGAGCTCTGCAGTACAGAGCTGAATAATTTCAGTCTGTGGGAGAACAGGAAAGGAGCTAAACCTTAAAAACAGTCTTCCCAACACCTATTGATTATGGGAAGATAATGTTTAGTACGTTATATTCAGAGCTGACTTGTTCATAAGAAACTTTTTATTAAGCAATAAGGCAAACCAATAAATCTGGGAGGTGCCAGTTTTCCAAAGCTATAAAACTCATGTTTTATGTGATTAATGGTGCCACACCAGTAGCTGAGCCCATTCGGCTTAGAATATAAGAGCATCTGGAGCTTTGTTCCCATGAACAGTAAGGGTCCATTGCCTATTTTGGCAATGAATATAAATGCAGATATAGTGTAAGGTCCCTTTGTGCTGTACCAGAGAATAAATTGGTCAAGGTGTTTTGTCCTGAATTGTAATATAACTCTATATTAAAATCCTTGTTACCAAGGCTTAGATGTTCACTGATATTCTGAATTCATCTGACATTCCTTGCTGTCAGCAGCAAGACTCCAATAGTCTGCCCTTTGAAATATATTACCCATAGCTTAATGGGAAAGGCCATTAAAATTGTCTGCTCAGTGTAAGGACTTTTATCTCCTGATGATGGCATCTGTTAAGTGAAGCTCTAAATAAGTAAATTTGAGTCAGAAGTATTAACCCATGAAGACCTTTTATTTTTCTCCCTGGAAGCCCAAGTGTTGATCAATAGCTTTGTCCTAGCATTTGTTACAGTCGGTATGTTGTTGCTAAAATACTCAGATGTGTTGTCCATTTGGGGTGCGGTGCAATGAAGTGACACCTACACCACACCACCTGTCTTGCCCTAGTAGGTATGAACAGCCTTCAAGCACATTTTATATTTGATCACTTAAGAATTTGGTTGTGGCTGCCCATCAAAACTCAGTAATAAGTGGTGACTTTTTTTTTTGTAGTTTTCATGAAAAACAATCAATTATATAACAAAAACTGTAGTCTCTTAAATGTCATTCTTCTAAATTTAAAGTAATTTTCGTGATGATCTTATGACAAGAGTAAGAGAGTGCTAGTATCTGTGCTGGTATCTGTGCTATTATTGTTTCCTGCTTTTGGCACTGCAAGTCTTCTCCACCTTCTTGGTGTCTTGCCTTCTCTGAGTTTTCCCAGCTTCCATTCTTCCTTTCTGTATGTTCCTTCCTTGTCTTGTCCGGCATTTTCATCTTCTCTTCTCTGAAGGGTATGACCAACGTCATCATCTTCTCCTTGCTTAGCCTCTTCTTAAGCAGCCTCATCCTTCAGTTATGTTAATGCCCCTGAATCCCAAAGCAACCTTCCCACAACTTGTCCTGTCTTTTACAACCCCCATATTCATGGCAGCCTGTTTCCAAGAGAGTAATTCTGTGACTGCAGTCGAGCTGCCATGTCCTGAACAGATAGTGGCCTATTTAATGGATTATTTTTTAATTTTCCAGTGCGCCATGCAATTTGCCGGCAAGATGTTCTTCAGCAAGAGTCGTTCTTCAGGAAGTAGTAGTGATTGAAAACATTTAGGAAGAACAAGATGCCGAACATATCTTGAAATATCCACCTTGGGGTCCAAAATTGCCTCCATTTCTTTCTCTGCTGTATCTCACTCAGTGCATACCCTTGCTACTTCTTTAGCTCTATACAAAACGCTGGCTTGAGGACCATGGCGTGCAAAGGTGGCACAATTTCCAGTGAAAAGAGTGATACAGGCCTGCTATCCAAGCAATAGTTACCATTTTGCCTTCTGCCATTTGGTGTCATGGTACCTGTGCGCCTTACACCTGTGGCATCCAGACCACTTGCAGTGCCTGCTCAGTTCCCAGGCAGCCGGCCGAAGAGCGCTACCTGAAAAGACTATCGTAAAACAAGAGGGCAGTGGAAGATCCAGGGGAGACAAGGTCTGTCCTCACCTGGCTATTGCAGGAGGCTTCCAGCTGTGGTAAGAGAAGAGCAGGTTTGCAAGCTAAAATCCTCAGCTGGGGGGTTTGAGGGTCTGACACCTCAACCCTGTGTACTGGAAAAGGGTATCTCTGTGCTCATATGGGAGATGGGATAAATTAGTGTGTGCAAGCGGAAGGCATATGGTGAAGCATGCCACTGTTTCAATAAATACCTGCTATTCATATTCATATCTTAAAAAATGAAAGGAAAAAAAAGAGCAGGTCTGAAATTTGGAGAACAGCTGTGTATGTAACTGCTTTCAGATGAGATGTGGAGGTGGGTAGATAGTTTTGCTTTTTAAGAAATGAAGCTTTTAAAAGACCTTTTAATAAATGACCTGCTTTTCACATATATTAATCTTTTATGAAGTCAGTCTTGCCATTCTGAACTGTAAAAGCTTTGCTACTTTCAGCACAGAGCATTCAGAAATGTACTGACAGTGATTTGGAGTGGCTTAAGGAGTAGGATAAAAGGGTGCTTAGCTGAACGTGAACTTCATTTTACTAAAGTTTTTGGGGATGGTGGTTTTGTTCTTTTTTTTAAATAGATTGGGAGGACAACAGAAAATTAACATAGTCTTATTTATTAATGTTGGCCTGCAAGTAAGGCTTGGAAGCACAGGTTCAGTTAATGTGTCTGACTGCATGAAAATTATAGCATTAGGTTTTGGAAAAGGCTTGATTTTCTTTAACCGTATTTTGCATATCTTGGAGCATACCAGCTTACACGTATCTGGCACCAAACTCACTCATCCCATCTGAAAAATGCTTTCTGTGAGCTTATGGGTTTGAGTCCATCTGCTGAATTTTCTTTTGCGTTGAAGGACTCTGAACAAAGAGCTGTCAATGCTTTCAATTTCCCATGGTTTTGTTTCTAGCACGTTCAATAAAAGAGGTCTTTCAAACCCTCTCCTACAGACCAAGTGAAAACAGGAGCTTCATATCAGAATGCGCTCTGATATTTAATTCAGGAGGTAGAAAGCAGGAAAGAAGTCATATTGTTAACTTTTTTTTTTTTTTTTGATGTTGTTTCCCAATGAAATTGCAGGGTTGGGGGTTTTTCCCACCCAAAATGCCATACAGTGAAACAGAGCTAAAGCAGCTAATAAGACCTTACAGGGTTTCCCCACAGTGGCATGAGGAAACTTTAAAATATGGCTGGGTGCTTCATCTGGGAAGACCATGAAAAAACTGATACCCAAATTCTGGCCCCACTGAAGCCAATGGGAATTCTACCACAGATTTTGAGTGGGGTGGGCAGGATTTCACCCACTGTCAGGGCTTAATATTTTGTCCTATTTGGGGGCGGGCTTTTTTGCCTATTGTAAATCTCGTGCATTAGTTTT